CCAGGCGTCTCCTGCTTCTTGTCCACGTGGGAGACTTGTTCCCAGCCCGTCTGGGGGTTCCTGTCCAGGCTGCCCCTACCCCCAGGCCCTGCACGGCCCGCGCCCACCAGCTGGGTGCTCTCCTGGCTGACCTGTGTGTGTGTGTGTATGTGTGTGTGTGTGTGTGTGTGTGTGTGTGTGTGTGTCTGCAGAGACACTGAGGGCAGATGGGAGGGGCTTGGTTTCCCTTATTCCCGTGGTCGGTCCGGTCCGCAGTGGCCTGAGGAGGTGAGGGGCCGGCTCTGCCCAGCCTCCCCCCAGGGAAGGGGCTCGCGGTGGGCGCCTGGGGCTCCCGGGAGGAGGCAGGAGGGACCTGAGGGGCCCGGCGGCCCTGGCACATGGCTGCCACTCAGTGATGCCATCATCATTGTGTCCTTCCCAGCCAGCAGCCCAGGTGCGAAGCTGCTGTTAAACAGTCATCGCTCCCAACCGGGGGTTTCCTAGGCACTTCAGACACATCATCTCGGAGGTATTGGCCGAGCAAGTGAGACGCAGAGAGGCTGAGCAACGTTCCCCATGCCACACAGCTTCCAGGGCCAGTTCTGAGAACGAGCCCAGGGCTTTCGGTCCAAACCGGTTTCCTACCTGCTCCGGCTCCGACTGGGAGGCGGGCGCAGGGGCCCCCTGCACGGGCCCGGAACGCGTGGCGTTACGTTTTCCTGGAGAAGGTTCCGGGTCTTTCCATGGGGGCAGGACATATGTTTTTATAGGATCGTGAACCGTCTAAAGAAACAGTCGCTGCTTCGGTATCAAAGGTCAGCTCTGGGGCCCTTCTGAAAGGCAAGAGGTGTGCCTCGAGCTTCCGGAACCTTCTCCCCGCGTTGGGCCACTTCTTTGGACCGTTGCTTCCTTATGAAATCTGGCCTCACAGGGAAGGGGAGACGCTGGCCTCCAGCCTGGCCCCTTGGGCACTGTCAGCAGCCGTCAGCTGGAGGCGTGTGGGGGGTAGCCCGTGTCCAACCCCGGCTGCTCCTGGCATCCTCCGTCCTCCGGCTCAGCACTGCCAACCCTTCAGCCGGCGCCAGGCTCCGCGCCTCAATGGTTAAGTGGAATCCCGAGATCTCGAGCTCGAGGGTGGAGGAAGGAGGAAACAGCAGGAGGGAGAGCAGCGCTGGGAGGCTTGGGATTTATTTGTTGTGCTCGCTGCTGGCGAAGCCGCTCCGCAGCCGGCGCGGGCGGGGACGGGCTGATTCATTAGTTTCTGACCATCTGCTTCCCGGGCTGGGACCGGGCGGGGGGCCAGCAGACCCCGCGGGTTAGGGCAGCGAGGCCGGCAGCCGGGTCGAGCCCCCGTCCTCTGCCAGGACCGGCTGTGTCAGTCTTCTTGGTGACAGACAGGCCTGCGAGGCTGGGGTCTGAGAGGGACCCCATGTCCCCCCGGGGGCACCACCGGGAGGCTGGGCTGGGTGAGGGGAGGGAAGGCAGGGGACAAAGAAGGACCAAGGTAAATAGAGGAGGTGTGGGGACTCCCAGAGCTGGCTGGCAAGAATCATATCAACATTCAATATGAGGTTTATGAATATGAATCTAATTATATTAACTAAGTCATATAACAACAACCTATATAATAACAGCCCAGCGACTGTTATGGCGGAACGACCATGGCAGAGGTGGCGGAGCCTCTCCCGCCTCTGCAGCAGTGCGAAGGAGCGGCGAGCCAAGCGGTTAGGAGCGAGCAGGCAGGCGGTTAGGAGTGAGGGGTCCCGTATTGCGAGAGGGTGCAGGCCGGGCTGAGGGACTAATTTCATGCATCGGGCCTCTAGTAATAACTATAATGCAGTGAGCAGTAGCTGAGGTCCCGGCCACTACCCCGGCCCAGGTGAGCTCCCTCACAACCTCACGATGGAGGAGGAGGGAACTGGCTTTAGAGAGTGCGTCAGCAAGGAGGGCTTCCTGGGGGAATCTCCTGAGAACCGGGAGGAGGGAGCGTGGCCGTGGGAGCACAAGCTCAGAGGTGAGAGCGGACAAAGCCGCCAGGGAGGAGGCACGCCTCCCGTGCTCTGTTGACAAGAGCTTCCCAGGTGGACAAGGAAAGACGCCGGACAGAGGGACGGCGCTGGTGACGGCGTGGTGTGCTCGGGAGGGGCCCAGGGAGCTTCCAGGGAAATTATCGGGAACTCACGACTCAGCCCCGCCCCTCTGAGCCGTTCCTCCCGCCCTGACCTCTGGCTCACCTGGGACAGGTGTGTCTTTGCTGCTGGGGCCTCGGGGCTCGAACAACAGATTCACTTTCTCAGGCTCTGGGGCTTCAAGCCCACGGTCAAGGTTGGTTTGACCCTGGAAGATCGAGGGCTGGTTTCTCCTGAGGCCTCCCTTCTCGGCTTGAGGCTGACGGAGCTCCCTCCGCCGCCTCTTCCCGTGGCCTCTCCTCTGTGTCCCTGTCCACAGCTCCCCTCTTATGAGGACCCAGCCTGACTGGGCCACCCTAACCACCTCCCTACGTCTCCGCCCCTCCTTAAAGGCCCGTCTCCAAGCATGGCCCCACGGAGGAGCTGCGGTTAGGCTCCGCATGTGGATGTGAGGGGCCACTCGCCCCTAACGAGGTGCCAGGGCAGTGGAAGAAGGTGGCCTGTCCCTACAGCAGGCCTGCCTCCCCAAGCCCAGCGGAAGCCTTGTCTCTGCAGGCCACGGAGCGTCCCTCTGGCGCCTCTCGCTCCCCCCTCCATTCGGGTGACGCCTCAGGGCCCCCAGCTGGAGCCCGAGGGAGCTCCCGCTCCAGGGGAGGTCCCCAGCGTCTCATGTGAGGTCCCCAGCATGTCGGGACACCCTGAGATTGTCCAGGACAGGAGCCAGGACATCCTCAGAGAACAGCCCACGCACAGGAGGCCGGGGCCAGCCCCCCTGCCCAGGGCCTCAGTTTCCCCTGTGCTCACTGGGGGGTTGGACTCAGGAATGAATCCCTTCAGCACCGAGGTCTGTGGGTCCCCTGAATCCCAGGGCTGGCCCGGGGGGTGGACAGCGCAGCCTGGGGGGGACCAAGGACAGAGCTATGAGGGCTTTGTGGGAGCTGCCTCGGCGAACGCAGGACCGGCCCTCCCCTCGATGGGTCCCAGGTGAGGTCCTGAGGCTGTGGGGGGGCGGGGGTAGCGCTCAGACCCGGGGAGATGGCGCCCTGTCCCCCGCCCGGGCTGGATGGCTCGCTTTAAAGTGAGCAGCTTTATCTCAGATCCAAGCCGTTTGTCACCGGGCAAACGGAGACCTGAAATATTCATCAAAAAAGCCGCGAGGGGTCCGGGCGCTGTGCAGGCCTTGGTGACAGGCTTGGTTTTTAATGGGTAGGTTTGGGCGTTCAGAGCTGTTTAGGTGGACAGCAGAGAGCAGAGAGCTCCTTGGATGCTGCTTCCTGCCCACGGCGCCCGCACACCTGGCGTGAGCGGGTGCATTTGTTACCCTGATGAACCAACAGTGCGTGCCTATGACTGAAGCCCACACTTCACAACAGGGTCCCCCGGGTGTGGGCGCGACAAATGCCCGATGTCATGGACCCACCGTGACAGGTCATCCAGTCACTCACTGCCCTCAAACTCGCCCGTGCCCCACCGGCTCGCCCCGCCGCCCCTGGGCAGCCTGTGCTGGCGATATTTCGGGCACTGCGTGCACTCAAGGCCGGCCAGATGCGGGGATGGATCTGAGCTGCCATGGAGGGGAGCCCTGCTGGGCGGGGAGCAGGCTGCCAGCGCCGCCCCCCCACCCCCCAGGTGGGAGGGAGGACTGTAAGCCAGAGGGGCTGTGCCCTGCCTTGCTCACCAGCGCCCCCCACTGGGCCTGCCTGGCATGTGCCAAGGACCTAGAACTGACTTGCCACAAAGATGCACGCCCTTGAGAGGAACCCCAAACACTCAGCACCCCCAGCTGTCCAGGTTCCACATGAAGCAGACACACAGGCTGTGCCAGGGACAGACGTGACCGCCACGCTCTGCGCCAACAGGTGGGTGTGGCTCCCGCTCCCCTGGCAGGGCCTGGGCAGGGCCGCCCCCTCCTGAGGCCAGGCTGCCTCACCCAGAGCGTGAGGATAAGCGTGGAGGTGGGAGGTGGGATGCAAATCGGAGGGAAGGGAGTTGAATTTGAACGTGAGCTCGTGGGCCTGGCGCTGAGTTCAACCAACGTTTGTGGTGAGTGGCCTCCCCCGCCCCTGCTCCTGCTGCAGCCACGATGGTCAGTGTAAGGGTCAGGAAGACACCTCTGTGCAGGAACCGTTTAAAGAGGCGGTGGGGAGGGAAGGGCCAGTCCAGGGGAGGGAACGCGGCTGCACAGGCTCAGAGGCGCAGACAGTGGGCTTGCAGGCTGGGCGGCTCAGTGGACGGAGCCAGCAGGTCCGGGACGGGGCTCTAGGCATCGGGTCAGGGTACTGATGAGTTAGACCTCTGTCTTCCGGGCAGTGGGAGCCACAGGGGCCTCGGAGCAGGTGACCACACCCCCCCTCGTCTGGTCTCCACTGAGAGCCGAGCGAGCGCGCTCCCGGGGCTGCTAGGATGTTACCGGCCTCTGCGCGCTCTGGGGAGACGGGTGCGAAGGACCTGCCCAGGGGCTGCTGCCTGGTGCCTGGACGCGGG